TGGAATGGTAATATGTGTTCTGCATCATTGTATGTTGGAATTATGTAATCCATTTTTTTTTAATTTAACAGGGAGGAGGGATAAGTAAGAGACTGATTTGGTTATGAGAAGAGATATCAGATTTTAAACTGTTGAGACTGGGAAAGACTGTGGTGACAGTTGAGATTGAATTAAATACATTTGAATAATGGTATAACCATAATTCTATATTGTCTAGGGAGTAGTCTGTGGTGGTTTAAATGAGAATGGTACAATAGGTGCATAGGTTTGAATAACTGGTCCTCAGTTGGTCAAGATGGTTATGAGATATTGTCTTGTTGAAGGAGATTTGTCCCTGGGGGTGGGTTTTGAGGTTTCATTACCAGTTAGATGTCACTGTTTCCTAATTGTAGGTAAAGATCTATGCTCTCAACCACTGCTCCTGCACCATGCCTGACTGCCTGCTCCCACGTTTTCCGCTCATTGTTGTCATTGACCCACAATCTGGAAGAGTAACTCTCCCATAATCCTTTTCTTCTATAAATTGTTTTGGTCAGTTTCTTGTCACAGCAAAATAAACATAACTAAGAGAGCATGGAACTACAAAAGACTCTAAATTGTTAAAATCATCTTATAAAGAGGGAAATAGTGTGAGGGCTAGGGAGAGAGGAAGAAAATGAATTTAGCATGAATGAAATCATCAACAAAAATTTTATCTTAAGTGATATGACCCAAAGACAGTGGGCAAAAACTTCACATTTGAAATCTAATAGCTTTGATCTCAGATATATAAAAATTTGTCTATTTATTAACAGGGTACTGAGCACATTATGATAAGGAGATTTTGGTCAATAGCTATAGAACTACAAACAAATGAAATACATATATTGAACAGAACCATGATACAACATGCGCGTTTAACCAAGTATTTTATTCTTGAAAAATAGTGAGCCAGTGTGAAAATATATTACATTTCTTCATTCATTCTTTGGTTGGGGGACATCTAGGTTGTTTCCAGGTTCTGACTATTATAATGATCCTTGTATCCCTAATCTCTCCAACACTTTTATCATAAAGGGGTGTTGAATTTTGTCAAATGCTTATTCAGCATCTAATGAAATGATCATGACTTTTTTTTCCCTTCAGTTTATTTATATGGTGGATTACATTGATAGATTTGTGTATGTTGAACCAGCCCTGCATCTCTGGGATGAAGCCTACTTAATCATAATGGATAATTTTTCTAATGTGTTCTTGGATTCAGTTTGCCAGTATTTTATTGAGAATTTTTGTGTCGATGTTCATGAGTGAGATTGGTCTGTAGTTCTCTTTCTTGGTTGTGTCTTTGTGTGGTTTTGGTATCAGGATAATTGTAGCTTCATAAAAAGAATTTGGCAATGACTCTTCTGTTTCTATATTGTGAAATACATTAAGGAGTATAGGTATTAGCTCTTCTTGGGAGTTCTGGTGGAATTCTGCATATACAAAGTTTTCAGTTTATAAACATTATTTAAAGTATTACATATATTGTTTGGTTAGATGTAAATTGTCTGTTATATATACATTTTCAAAACTCCATATTATTATCAATAAGTATGCATAATAAAATCTGTCATTAAGTAGTTTAAGACTATTATTTCTGTTTACAAATTGTTGTAGTCATGTAAACATGTTCCTATGTATAGGGGTGTGTTTACATGTGGGAGTGGTGCATGTGAACACATTGTACATGTATGTGGAAGTCATTTCAACTCTTTATATAAGGGGCCCACTTTGTTCCATGAGACAATGTCTTCCACTAGCATTGACTACTCTAGGAAGCCTGGCCTGTGAGCACCAGGGATACTGTCTCCTTCTGCAGAAATCTCTTGGATTCCAATTGTGAACCACCATGCCTAGTATTTTTGTGTGTGATTGGACTCAAACTCAGGTCTGCAGCTATGATATTTTATTCTCAACTAGGACTTGAGGTTAGACTCTGATGTGAAATCTATAATTATCTCCTCATCCCCCTCCATCTATTCCTCTTCCTCTCTTCCTATTCTACTTTTTCCTCTTCTTTGCCGTCTGCTTTTAGACAGATTGTCACTATTGGTAATATGATAGCATACAATTCATAATCCCCTGTCTTAGATTCTGACGGATGGAATTTCAGGTATAAATCCTAACATGGGATACATTATATATCTCTTAATTGAGCTTTTCAGAAAAAAAAATCAACTAATTCTAAATGGCTGTATCATTGCTATGCAGTAGGGTGTGGTTTCCTTCTGGCTTCTGTTCTACACGTGAATTTACTAAAGCATGATGGGAGCAGAAATGAGCAATTCCATTCAGATGTCCACTCAGAAGGGTCTGATTGACTCTCAGCAATTAGTTTACAATAGAGTTAAAATTTGAACTTTGCCTAAAATCTTTAATTCTGTTCGTAATTTATTTTTAAGTATTGTTATATGTTTAAAGATTAAGTGATATAGAATTCAAAGTAATTTATAATTATAGATGAATATATATTCATATATATGTATATTCATTTTATTTATAATCAGAATTATATTAGTATTTGGTCAAATAATTGATGAAATTTCAACAGCGATATTGAAATAATCGCCTATTTAGTTAATGCAATGTCAAATGCTGATAATCTTGCCAAATACTTATTAGGCTTGCTGTCGATAGACACAAAAGGAATTTGGATTTCTTAATTGTAATTCCAGCCCAGGGATTTGGAATATGGTACTTTGAACAGATCCATTAGTTTTAAAATGTCTCTGCACTTAAACAGCTCAGATGAGCATTTAATGTCTTCTATGGCCTAGGTTAGGTTTAAAAAAGTTAGTGTGAGAATCAATATTCATTATATTCAGTTCATATCAGGTACACATAACAAGAAAATGTCAATTAAGCTATAAAATTATATTTTTAAATATCCATGATCATCAAATATCTTTTTTTTCTTGTTTGCCATGATATGTCATTCTTGCAGTCTTATTACGGAAAATTTATCATCTCAAGCTTTGCACTGCCATTATCCTATGAACTTCCTTCCAAAATGTTGATTTTATTGTGGCAAAATGAAAATGAACAGTTGTAGTGCCTGTCTGAAATTCCTGGAAACCTGCAAGGCTCAGGCTGTTTGAGTGTTTTAAAGCATGACTCTCTTATCATAAATTCCTTGAAATATAATAAGACTGTGATTCCTGGGCTAACTGGTGAACCAAGAAATTGAATCACTTGTCTGAATGGTACCGAGGTGGTACTTGCTTCAAATAGCTAGTTTAAAAACCCAATTCAAATATTCTTGCAAGAAAGAGGCTGTCAATAGAAGAGAATCTCTGCATATATTGTATGTAAATAGGAACTGTTACAAGTGGGAGTTTAAGTTCTTCCTTGTTCAAAAGAGACTTCCAGAACTGGAGTAGTTCCTGAGTGAGTCACTTCTCACTACTTGAAAAATTTCTCTCTTCCAAGTCTGACTAAACATTGTGAGTAGATCCTACTGCAGAAAGAAGAAAAAAATTCACAAAATGTAGAAAGTCTGACTCCTGTTTTTAGAGGAGAACAACATCATGTGGAAAAAGTAAGAACCTATAAATAAAATTCAAGATCACTATGGAAGAAATTAGAAGTCTTTAAGTTGCAGGGTAATGAATGTAAGAATGAATGAGACAGAGCCAAGGTAGACATGGGAGATGAGATTCCAAAGCTGTCCTGTCTGTGAGCTGTGAGGTTAGATAGAGACATACAAGGCTCCTCGGGGACTTATTGTGCTTTTTATATAACTGAGAACTGAGAGAATTTGAATTTTATTTGATATGCTCAAGTATAACTTATTTTCATTTTTTTCAAGGACATATGTTTAGGAAAAAACATTCAAAGAAATCATTTTAAAAGAAATATTTACCAAAATCATGTCAACATTTAATAGCTTTTATCTAAAATCAACTTTCGAGAATAAAATCAAACCACTATAGTAAAGGATTTCCTACATTCATGTGGGAGAAATGTGAACCATTTGATTTCAGATTAATAAGTAGGATTAATCAAAGCATTACAGAAATAATTATTCAATTACCTTTCTCTGTTTTTCTAGAACAGGAATGAAAGAAAGATGTGCAAGTTTCTCTATAGCAGGAAATTCCTTGTGAAAAATGTTATAGTGGTGTAACTGTGTCACATGACAGTTACTTCCAGGTTTTTGAGGTGCTAACACACTGATTTCCACAGTGGTAACACAGTTTGCACTTTCCCCCAAAAAGATCAGTGTTCACCTCTTTCCGGATCCACACCAACATTTTAAGCCATTCTCTTTGTCTTAGTCTTTAGATTGGAGTGGGTTAAAATGTCAAAGGGCATTTCATTTTCACTTCTCCGATAGCTATGGCTGTTGAACATTAAAGCAAATATTCTTGGACATATATATTTATTCTCTAGGGAACTCTGTTTAATCTCATGCTAATTGACATAATTAGATTTTAAGTTATTAGTATTTTCTAGATTCTAAGAACTTTCTGTCAAAAGTATAGGTGCTAAAATTCTTTTATCATCTGTGACTTATACAATTTATGGGAAATTAGTTCATTCAAAAAATATACATCAGTATTCTATACCATAGGTTGTTAGAAAAATTCTCAGAAATTGTCTTACATATAGGTACAAATCAATAAAATCTAGATATAATCATTTCTGCTTTACATTTAACACAGTTTTATAAACACTTCCCATGTCATTAATTTATAAGTTCCTTAAGTACTGAACAATCTTCCATATGATATGGACTTGTGAAAAATTATGAATTCATTATGACTTTCCATTATTTTATAATTTCAGCAAAGGTAAACTAATAATGACTTTAGGTAATTTTTGATCTATTCTCATATGACATTTTATTTTGTGATTTCAAATTCATTTGAATTTCCTGATTTATGCTGCTAAAATGATGTATTAAATGTATATTTCTCTTTAAATGTCAATTATTAGTACTGTATATTATAATTTCCTTTTTTAAAAAAAATCTCCCAAGGAGTTGCACCATTCCTGGAGGTACTGCAATACCAGGTCAATGCGTGGAGTGGATGGAGCAAGCTCCTATTCCAATCCTACTTCCAAAAATCCATTTAATATATTGTCCTTAGGGGACATATCAGTTATCAAAATGATATGAATAGATACTACACTTGATATTAGCCAAAACGCTGAGATTTTTTTCTTATATTTATTCATCGAGTATTTTAATCTAATTTAAAATTTTAAATCATATATGATCAATGCATCATTCTATTTGGGCTTTTATAACTAAAGACATGTGACAAGCTTATAAAAACAGAAATTTATGACTGAGTTCGTACACTTCTTGTCACACATACATAATGACATGAGATTACCTGGGTGAACATCTTCAACAACAGTGATAGGGATACAGCAAATTACGGGGCTGAGCTACTGGACACCAGTCCAAGAGATGGAGAAATGATAACATAAGCAAATGAGTCAAGTCCTAATAGTGATACTCGCAGAAACAGCTGACTTGAGCAAGTAAGAACTCACTGACTCTGAACTGATAGCTGAGGAACCTGCCTAGGACCAAACTAGGCCCACTGAATGTGGGGGGCAATTGTGAGCCTTGGGCAGTCTATGGGGTCACTGGCAGTAGACCAGGATGTACCGTTAGTGCTTGAACTGGCATCTAGAAGCACATTCTCTTGAGGGATACCTCATTCAGCCTAGATATAGTGAGGAGTGCCTTGGTCTTACCTTAAAGTTCAGTGTTAGACTTTGTTGACACCCCATGGGAAGCCTTACCCTTTCTTAGGAGTGGATGGGAGTGGTTGGAAACAGGGACGGTAGCTATATAAAGTGAATAAAGATTATATTAAAATTTTCTTCATAAAAAGAAGGAAAAATACAGTGATATGTGGACAGACAGAGCTCATTGGCCAGTTTAGTCCCATCTATGAGTTCCAAGGTCAGTGACACACCACGTCCAAAATATAGGCGAACAGTAACCGAAGACTCCTCAGACTGGCTTCTTGTCTATAAACAGACATAAATAACATGCACTTAGTGTATATGTAAACACAACACAAATACACACATACCAATACTGACATATACACAGACACACAGAACACACACACACACACACACACACACACACACACACACACCTAAACAAATCCCTGAAACTTTTTTTAACAGTCCTGGTGTTTGAGAAATCCACTATCAATGTGCCAGCATGGGTTGTTTCTAGAGAGGGCTCATTTCATGTTCATCAGTGGCTGCCTTTTATCTGTGTTTGTACAGAACCTACAGAACATGTTGTTGCTAGGAGCCTCTTTTATCGCAGCACTAGCCCCAGTCATGGATCTGTAATCACAATCCAATTGACTCCTAAAGGCTACATCTTAATTCAGCACACTGCAGATTACAGAGATCGTATTAATTTGGAAGGAAATGCACAGTTCATGTCTAAGACAAAGCAAGGATTCATATCAAAGAAATTTCAGTGTGAATTCAGCTAAAAATGAAAGGCACAGACGAACTGTTCAAGGCACAAAAGAGCCTTCCATGCTGACAGCAAAGCAACAGTCTACATTGTCACTGAGTATGGCTCAGTTCTCTCAGAGGCACTGAGATTTCAGCCTGCAGGAATTGCAAGGGTACAGACATCTCATGTTCCCTATTACAGACATGTACAGAAGGCAAGACAGGGAAGGGAAACAAACTCTGGAAAAATGTCCAGTGTGTGCTTACTTTGCTTTTTATTCTAATCACTTGACTACTTTCTCAGTAGATATTCATTTCTAAAAACCTATGCAAGCTATAAATGAATATAATCAGTAATTAGTCCACAGCATTATGAATGACCAGAGTAGACAGTACACAAAATAATAATGCATGGAAAAATTACCCCATTCAGAAAAGAAATCTGTTTTTATGTTAGTTTAGTAAACATCACATAGTTCATTTCCCTCCCACAAGAATCTTGCTGCTCATAAAGTATTAAGCATTTTGAAAATTTTTATAGTGAAGAAACTAAAATTGTGCACTGCCAAACTCAGAAAGACAAACATGATATACATATCCTTTCATTTCTGGTTATTAGTGAGGAATCTTCAGATGTGAGCTTTTCACCTATTATATTCATATAATCTGTATTATATTATAAATAACATATAATATAATTATATAATTTATAAAGAACCTATAAAGGTCAGAAAAGTAAGATGGAGCTGTGGCTGTGGGGAAAGGTTCAAGGGTGGTAGAACAAAGATTGCAAAGGGGGATAAGGGTACCAGAAGGGTTCCATGTTACAGGGAATGGAAAGCATAGCATAGGAAGGTATTGGGAAAAGGATAACTAAAATAAAAACAGTTCAAAGAGTAATATGTAAGCCTATTATTAACAGTTACATAAATTCTATACATGCACATATAAAAAGAGCTAAAATGGAGTGGAACTAAAATGGAGAGACAATGTCCCTTCTAGACACCTCAGGGAGCAATTCCAGTGCCAGGAATGAATTACCTTTAATGGAGTTCTTCCCCTTGGAGGTCTCATTGACCTGTAAACATTGCAGGCTGTCGCTAATGTTTTTGACCCCTCCAGAAGTTGACATTAAGGCAATATTACAGATTTCTCCAGTAACATGGAGAAATCATGTTCTCTGGCTGGCTTTGACTGTTTTCGAAGCTACTGTGCATGCTACCAGATGATAAAAGTGTATAAATCCTGCAAGCTACAGGAATGACCACTTTGACAAAGTATACCTATGGGGGTAGTAGTGACATAAATATAATGGGAGGAACCACACACTTTCTTAACACATTTAAATACAGCTCCACAAGATGGCACTGCCAACAATTTATGGCTAAACAGGCCATTAGCCCTAGGTAAAAGGTTACTACTTTCATTCTGCTAACAGGGCATGGATTTAAACCAACTTCTATCACTTATCAGGATACCCATAGACTAATGTATCTCCTAACCTTCATCATAGATATTTCTTTTCACAGTAGATTTTAATTAACACAAAGACCCGCAACCGAGCAAGATTAAGAGAATAAGAAACTGTGGAATATTTAATTCTAAACAAGACATCTAGATTGCCATTCATCCTCACTCTAAATGAAAAGGCAGAAAGACGTTAAAAGATAGAGGCTTGCTTTCCAGATACAAAAGAGCAGCTGCACATAGAAACGCAGTGATGTTCACAGCATCTATAAGCCCTTTTCAAGCTCAAGCTAGACAAAATTCCAGCTCAAACAGGATAGACAGGCATGAAATCCCACTCTTAGCTGAAAACCTATTGTTAATTGATAGCTTCTGGAAGGAAATGAGTCAATTTCCTCTAAGGGTGTGGAGCTTGAAACATAGTCCACATTTCAGTGGATGTGCGTACATTTAAGAATACATAGAAAACACTAATTGGACTCGAATGTTTTAAAAATTGGGAACAAAAATTTGGAGGATTGGGAATGAAGGTACATTTCAGAGGAGTGAAAAACAAAGGAGTTATTAATAACTGGAGGAAGGTAAAGTGCCTAGGCACCATATGTTACTCACACACATGCAATTTATTGCACTGGATTACCTAGGCTCTTTTTTAATTAGTGTGAATCATGTTAGAAACAAAATTTTGTATTGATGCCATTTGACTCTTCTTGCTAACAACATAATTCTCTGGACATTTCTTTTCCCTAGGGGTAAGAAAGTTGAAACTCATGTGCATTCAAAAATAACATTATCTCTAAGATTTTATATTACTTTCACTCTTTCAAGATCTTGGGTGGTTAGCCATAAAATTGTGCTTGTTTTATAACTGTTTAATTCAAACTTATAATGAAAAGTGATTATAACAGCCAAAGTGATACAGTGAGCACCTCCGACGTCTGAACACTTTACAAAATTTGTATTAAATTAGTTGTATCATGCACCAGAGAAGCGCTCTTCTTTCTTAAGACTGTGCGGCAGCTGTTTTTACAAATTCTACTTGAATTTTGCATCCACTCTGATAAGTAATTTAGAAGATTGCATTTGGTATTGAATTGGACTGAAAGAGAAAGCTCTCATCTTCTTATGAGTTCTCTTGATTAAAATAGGATATGTAGTTAAAAATAAAAGTGTTTAAAATAAAGAAAATCTATCTATAATTTTTTAAATCTTATTTGGGATGCTAAATTTTAGAAATAAGAAATGCTGTGATTTAACTAAAAAAAAGCTATGATTCAAGTAGACTGAAAGGAAACTTCAGAACTCTAGTACAACACAAATAATCATTTGATACAGTCAAAAATATTGATTTTGATTCTCATAAAAAATATCCATATCTTTAAGTAATTACTTTGATATTTCTTTTTATTCTTTACATCATTTTCTTCAGCAAACTTCTTGAAGTTCACACATTCCAGGGTTAAATATACTATTGTTCACATTTACCTTAATGTACATTTCCCCTTGCATGCTTATTTTCTATTCTTGGTTCTTTTGTTGACTTCTGATTCTTCTTAAGTATCACCCCAATAGTGAAGATACAGTACTTCAAGTATACTTACATCGTGTGTAGAAATACTTACTGAACAGTTTAAGGCAGCAATAAGTTTATTGTGGTTCATAGTATTTCTGGACCTAAGTTGAAGAAAATCATCATGGCAGTAGAACATAGTAAAGTTAAGTTATTGACCTCATGGTGACCAAGACATGAGTAGAGAGGAAGGGAAAATGAAGGAGAAAGTTAGGAGGGAGGGTAAAGATGAAGGGAGAGAAAAAGAGAAAGGAATCGAGCAATGAGGAAGTGAGCTCTAGCAAGCTTCCTCCTTCTTTCTTTTATTTCATCCAGACTGGCAAACTATTCCATAATACCACTAATTCAGGATGGCATTTCTCCCTTAGATAGTGTCCTATAGAAGGATATACCCACACAAGCACTGAAATATGAATTCCCAATTTAGACAACTTCTATTACAAGCAAGGCGATAGCCAGAATTAACAAAGCATCACTGTGTGTAGACAGTGAGGATGGCAAAGTTTATGTGAATTTATTCTCTAAGCCTACCAAATTGGACCAATAGTAAATCTTTAAAATTGCAGGCCTCTGAGTACTAAATGATATCTCTGTGTTCTTCTCAGCATGTTGGACAAGAAAATACAAATATTAGATAGAGAACAAATCAGATTAAATAATCAGGTCATGTTTTTCTTATAT